CACACGGACGATAATATTTCGGATATGTTGACTAAGGCTTTGTCGAGAAACAAACATTTGAAGTGTCGAACTTTGGCGGATATGGTTTATCTCTCCACCTAAGTTGGTAGGGGGAGAATTGTTGGGAATACCTCATTATTGGAGTGTGGGACCCAATTGGTTTATTAAAAAAGTTTAATTTGGTTTGATATTAGTTATGATATATTTTTATATATTATATCTAATTTTGTAGAGACTCAATTCAGTTTGGAAACAACTAAGGTTTTGATTAAGAAAAAAACCATAGATTCACAATATATTATTGGTATTGTTTTCCCAAGAAAAAAAAAGGTGTTGTGCGGCTGCTCCATATTTTAGTTTTCCAAGGTGAGCAACTATTGATCATTATTGTTGGTGAGATTAATACTTGCTTCGGTGGTGTGGTTTGGGTTGCTTCGTTTGGTTCATTTTTAGTGCTAATTTGGGTTATTATTTTGGGTCTTCTTCAACTCTGATTCTGAAAAATCTGGTTCATCCATTTGGTGAGGTCTTTCCTCTTGTTTATTTGTGATTATTTAGAATTCACCTAAAGGTGGTTTTGTGAGACCATTCATGTCTCGTTTGTAATCGTTTGAAAACTATTTGGTTGATAGTGGAATCGAATTTCGATCCCGTGGACGAACCTCACATTGAGGGAACTACGTAAAAATTCTTGTGTTGCTTTTGATTTAATTTTTCCGCATTAGTTTTTTATTCTCATTAATTAATTTACTTGTGGGGATCATATATTTTTCCTAAGACCTTCATCCTCTGTTACATCATAATTAATTAAAAAATTATTACCATGTTCATTATCCACAATTATGTTTGTGCATTATAATGCACGCTTTTGTGATACATTCAAGGCATGAACTATACACAACATGTCAATTTTGACATGGTGGGATTGCTGCCAAAAGTCATATCAGCTTTGAAGGTCTGAGTCCAAACACATACCCCCCAAAACATGAAGCTAACAAAGATGACAATTGATTTCCTAACTAAATGAATGGTCTGATCTGATGTAGAAAATGGATGACCACGAAGTTACTGTTGTTCACAATGTTTGTATTTGAAGAGGAGGCGGGGAAGGGGAGAGAAGTGCAAGTGTTGTTTGTTAATTGGCAAACAATGCAAAATTTATGTTAGGTCATTGCATTCCTGTTCATTTCTGCCCAAACTGGAGATATCCAATATCAAGTATGATGTGCCCTGAGATTGTATCCTCCTATTTAATTACTTCAACTTACATTCTCTCCTTTGATAACCCAGATGTCATCAGAAATCCATATAAATCATGTACACATAAAGCTTATAAGATGTTCAAATTCAAAACAAAAACTAATTTCCTAATGCAATTTATTAGCTACACAGCCACATTTCTAACAGCCTCACATTAAAAATTGAACATAAATTTAAACTAAATTAAACCACACACAAAAAGAGTAGTTTTCTTGAAATTCCAAATCCAAATTTTACCCACCATTAAAACTTTTTAGTAGAATTTTATAATCAAATTCTAGAACCATTCAAAATCAATCAACTGCCTCATATCTAACAAACTCGAACATTAAACTGTGCATAATTTTCAACCAAAACCTAAAATATACAACCTAAAATATACATTGATACAAGAATGAGCTTTTCAAATATACAGAGAACAGCAACAACCAAGCTAACTAAATATGTACTGTCTTGTTAACCCCAAAAGACACATTGTGACCCTTAGAGTTGGCCCTCTTCATGTAGTAACCACTTTGTCCATTGGGCTTGGGTGGAGAAGAACAAGATTGAGGAAGAGAAGAACCTTGAGATGGACATTTCAAGATTCCTTTCAAGGGCTTGTTGCTCAAAGAAACCCCGGTCTTGTTAGAATCATCACCCGAAGATTGCACTTCACTTGTGGCGTGGACACCAACATCATCTTTGCCCTGCTTAGTGTGAGATTCATTTTTTTCTTTGCTTCTTGTAGCCATTCTAGACCATTTTTCAATGAAAATTGAAGACGGGTCCAAATTCTTTGTAAATAAGCTTTTCTTAGGAGAATTCACCAAATTATTCCCATGCTTTGGATGCAGCAATGTCATGGCAATCAATGTAGAAACAAAAACTTCACATATTGCACACTTGATTTGTCGGTGTCTCCCCAAAGATGGAGCCTCTGTAACTCCCACCATTGTCTTGATCCCAAGAACTCTACGAGCCAAGTCTGCCAATTCGCATTTCTTCAGCTTTGGGTCGTTGAGAAACTTGGCTGCCAAGAAACCTACATCAACTTCACTTTCTTTCAATCCGAGTTTATCAAAGGGGAACAAATCTTTCTTCTCAGGAATTCCAAAACCCACAAAGGAAATTCTCTCGTCCTGAAGAAATTTGAGGATTGGATTCGGTAATTGTTTCCCCACTTGAAACCTGATGATTGCACAACCAGTCCCAAAGCACAGGAGCAACAGTGCAATGTTTGGATCCCGAGGATGGCGCAAGACATCAAGGCCAACAACAGGTGGATGTTGCCAAACCTTCCCCTTTGGAAAGACAAAGTCCGTTGTGCATAAAGGCTCGATATCTCTTGCTTTGAATGCAATTCCTTCGAGCCTAGCTTCAAACCGATCAGTTTCCAGATACACAGTTCCTGCCATTTGGAATTTCAAAGACCAAGATTTGATGCACCTAAGAAAACCTCAATTGTCTCCAATACAATGTTTGACAAGAAGGTATAAGAAAAGATTTGTTTTTCTTCGTTTTTTTCCCCCAATTTTATTGGTGTTATATACTGCATGGGATAATAGGATAAAATGGCATAGAAGCAATGGAAGAAAAGTTGGTGGTTCTCCTAAATTCAAGCCTATTGACAAGGGTTTCATAAAAAACGGCACTACTTTTTAGGACTTTTTTTCTTAACAAGGGTTTCATAAAAAAACGGCACTACTAATTTTAGGGAGACTCTTTTGCTTTCTTTAGTAATTTTTACCACTATTTCATTAGTCAATGTTTTATCACATAAAGACAAACTTATCATTTGAAGAAAGAGGCTAAATACATAAATTCAAGTTTTCTTTACTTCAAATTTGTTGAGAAACAACATTGGAAGTGTATTATTCTTGCCAGTCACGACACCTTTTTAAATTTACTAACTCTTCACCCAGTTGATTCATAAAAATGCAAAGAAGAAACAGAGTTGGTGCTTGTGCCGAACTTTGAAGTTGCTCTGACCCCTAATAGCATCTCCAACTCATCCTTCATATATGAAGGATGGTCTCCTCCAACCCACCCTTCAAATTCATCTCCATTTGAGAGGAGAATGAGTTCATCCTTCATATTTGAAGGGAGGATGAAAAAATAAAGGATCCTTCCAAAATACTATTCATTTTGTATTTCTTATTATATTACAAATAACTTTTAATTTGTAAATTTAATTTTTATAAAATTGACATCATTAAAAAGTATAAAATCATACCTTTAAAATGAGTATAATATTAAATATATTTTACAAAAATTTTAAAATTAAATATTTATTAATGAATAAAAATCAGTTTTTGAATAGAGTTTGAATGAAGGAAATGAAGGTTTGTGGTTGGAGTTTGAATGAATAGTGACCCCTTCTATATTCACTTTTTGAATAAAAAATATTATTTTCATCCTCTTAGTGAAAGTATTACATTGGAGATGCTCTAAGTACCATATGCTAAAGATCACAAAAATGTAATCAATCAAGCAAATTTGAAGAAACAATGGCAAATATAAAGGCATCCACAATGGGATAGTCAAAATTGTTTGTTAAAGTATGTGTTATATGACAAAAAGTGATAAAAGTGGAGCTCAAAAATGTTTGTTAAGATGTGTTAAGAGTTTATTAATTTTAGAGAGTGAATGATGATGCAATAGACGTGTTAAGATATGTGTTAAATATATATATATATATATATATATATATGTATATAATAAATAAATAATTTAGTTTAATAAAAAAATTAAAGCCCAAAATTAAATTTTAAGTCAAAATAAAAAATCTCAACAAATTAAAAAAAAAAAAATTCCGTTGATCGGGTCAACTGGCCAAACGTCCAGCCAATCAACCCGAAAGACACACAAACACACTGCAGCACCAAACAACAATCCTTGCTAACTAAAACTTACCAACTGACACTAACACTCTCGTTAACCAATCCACGGCAGATGCTCTAAACATGTTAATTGACATAGTCAGTATTAGTTAACAGCTTTGTAGTTTCAAGAGTTGCATCTCAACGACACATCTAACATCTCGTAGAATTTCATTACACATTCAAACTTCCACTATTGATCAAACACAAGAACCAATAATCCAAAACAGGGAATCAAAACACAGATGTAGAAAAAACAGGCAAATATACACATGAAGATTACAGTTAATTGCAAACTTTTCTTTCAAAAAAACAAAGGCTAATGAAGATTTTCCAACTTGATGAATGATTTGATATAGAAAATGGATGACTATTAAGTCAAATTTTGTAACCGTGTTGAATTCAAATTGAAACCTAAAGAGTAAATTTTTACAATAAATCTAAAAACAAGTACAAACAAAGCATACTAACCCAATGCAGCTACTATATTATATACTTTATCAATTTGGAACCACATCAAAAAGACTCAAACATTGACATGTGTTCATCATTTCCAACCTATTTAGAAATATTAGTCATTTTCCCAAATTCCAAATCAAAATTGTACACATTACAACCTCAACCAACTTCCCAAACACTCACATATAAACATTGTGCAAAATTTTCAACCGCATTAAACAAAAATATAAAAGAAACCCATTTCCCCAAATCCAATTCTTGTACCAAATTTTTTGATCTTCTGGGAAAAACCTCCAAGCTGTAAAAGCATTGAATGCTTACATTTTAGTGATGATAGAAGCTTCCATATCCTAGAACCATTTTCATTAGTAAAAAAACCAATTTGATCATAACAAATACATAAAGGTAGAAACCAAGCAATCAATAGAATACATAATAGCATAATTTTCATTGAAAATAACTTAACAAAAGCTTCAACAGTAGATAGGACACCAAATTAAAAACACAGAACCGACAAAGCACTAGAAACCAGACAACAACTAACCCTAACCACCTATACAAAACAACTAACCATTGATTCACAATCACATTAGGCAACAAATCTCAAACCCTAAGCACGTTCGCCTCTGATGCGGCGAGCAAGCTGCATATCCTTAGGCATAATCGTGACACGCTTAGCGTGAATAGCACAAAGATTGGTGTCTTCAAACAGTCCAACAAGGTAAGACTCAGCAGCCTCCTGGAGGGCCGCAACAGCGGAGCTCTGGAATCGGAGATCGGTCTTGAAGTCCTGAGCGATCTCACGAACAAGTCTCTGGAATGGAAGCTTTCGGATCAGAAGCTCTGTGGATTTCTGGTACTTTCGGATCTCCCGGAGCGCCACCGTGCCGGGGCGGAAGCGGTGGGGCTTCTTCACACCACCGGTGGCTGGAGCGGACTTGCGAGCGGCCTTGGTGGCTAGTTGCTTCCTTGGTGCCTTGCCTCCGGTGGACTTCCGAGCTGTCTGCTTTGTACGAGCCATTTGAGACTAGGGTCTTAGAGAGAGAAAAAAAACTAGGCCTTGAGAGAGAGAGAGAGAGAGAGAGAGAGAATACTGGATGTGGGTGATTTTGGGGGGAAGAGGAAGGGGTTAATTTATAGTGTGTTTTGAAATTTGTGGAGCGAAAAGGAAGAGATGTAGGCCGTCGATTTTATTTGTTGTGGGAATTTGTTATCGACGATTGTAATTGATTTGGAGGGATTAGAGGCGGATTGATGACGTGGTGCGTGTTTTTTTTTGTTTAACTTTTGTGTTTGAGAAGGAGAGATGATCGTACAATGCTATCGACGGTTCTAATTTGTTTATTGAGTTCGCGGATCGGTGACGTGGACGGCTTTGTTTAAGTGGAGAACGATACCCGTGGGGCGTAGAAAACGGGAAATTCTTTGAGCCCGTTTCTTTTGGGGTGAAGTAGATGAGAGGGAATTAAGATAGTGGAGGTATTATTTAGGTTAAGTTTGGTTATTTTAAGCTTCCGTTTGGGAAGTGAGTTGGCTTTTTGGCTTTTTGGCTTTTTTGGCTATTTTAGCCTGGGCTTAAAAGTTTGGTTTGGGAAGGGCTTTTTGGCTTTTTTGAGTTTTTTTGTGAGAGAAGAATGTAATGATTATGGGTTGGATGTGATGTTTTGTTTGTTATGGCTAAAATAGCCTATTTTGTTTTTTGTGGCTAAAATAGCCAAAAAAGCCTACAAACCCACTTGCCAAACACAGGCTAAATAAGTGCATATTTTTTATTTTTTTTTATCACATTATTTTTTTATTTTTTTGTACATCTTTTTGTAAAAAGATAAAAAGTGCACTTATTTAGATCATCCCAAACAATCCCTTAATGTTGTATTTGTTTGTAGATAGGGTTGAGTAAGGAATCCGTGAAATCCGTAATCCGATCCAATCCAGTCCAATTCGGGAGGTTTGGATTGATTTTTTGAATCCGTGGTTCGGTTCCGGATTGAAAAATTAAAAATCCGTAGTCCACAGATTGGTTTCAGATTGAACCCCACAGTTTCGGATTGGAACAGATCCGGACCGTATACAAATAGCCTATATTTTTATTATACATCCCCCTATAATATCTTCTCTTATTCCATATAAAACATAAACTCAAACCTAAACCAACTTAATATCTTCTTTTATTACTTTCGTTTGTTAGTTTTTAGTTTCAATTTGTAATGATCTAAATATTTATAGTGAAACCAGTTTTCTTACGGTTGTTTAAATTCTAGAACAGTGTGTCGCTATTATAGAAAAACATGTTGCTATTGTGGAACTGATATAGCGCTATGTTTATATTTTTATGAAATTAAAATGTTATATGTATATTTTTTTGTTATTTAATTATGTGAATTCGTGGTCTTAAACCGATCCAATCCGTGTTTAAATAGATTGGTTTGGATTAGTTCCATGATTTAAATGGATTGGATTGGTTTTAATTTTTCAGGAACCGTAGATAACGGATTGGTCCTGATTTTATCCCAATCCGGACCATGCTCACTCCTATTTGTAGAGTTGAGGAGAGGATTAGGATGATGGAGGTGATATAAATGGAGGTTAGGGAGGGGATTGAGATGGAGGTTAGGGAGATGGTATTAGAAAAATAGTGAGGGGATTATAAATTTTTTTATTTTTTATATATTGGGAATTTTTTTATAAATATTAATGTTCAATTTTTTATATTTTTTGTTTATTTTATTATTTTATACAAAAATAATTTAAAAATTCCTACACTAACAACTATCATCAAAACAAACACAATTTTACTTAATCCCCTCACTATCAATCCCCTCACTATCAATCCCTTCCATTCTACCTCTGAAAACAAACGGGGCCTTTGGGTTAATTATCAATAGGGATTATTTTTTGAATATAAGTTTTATTAATAAATATTTTAAGTGATAAATTTATCAATTTTTTTTATTAATAAATTTATAGTGATCAAATTACCAGTTAAGATCTGTAAATAAATAATTAATAAGATTGATCAGTAAGCCTCCAAATAATTTTCCAAATAAAACTCGTAAATGATAAATTTTAGTTGGTTATTATATTTTGGAAAATGTTTGATAGCTCAAATTTTTGTGGCTCAAATGGCTCAAATCTGTCAAAACGACGTCGTTTTATACTCAAAATCTGTCAAAACGACGTCGTTTTGACAGATTTGAGCCATTTGAGCCACAAAAATTTGAGCTACCTAGCATTGTCGTTATATTTTTTAACTATTTTATGAAATGAAAAAAAAAATGTTTTGTGAATTTTTTTGTAATTGAATAGATAGTTATGGGAGAAAAAATGATTGATATAACATTTTATGTTATTGACTATCTTAATATTTTTTTTATCTTTATTGACTATTTTAGCCAAAAAGTAAAATCTATAATTTTGATTTTTTTTTCACAAAATTTATCAATTTAAAATTTACAACTAATATTTTGGGCATTTTTTTACAAAATTAAGCATCTTAAAGTTTGTTTTCAAGTTTGTACATCCATGCTTTAAAATGTTAGTAAAAATGTCTAAATTTTCTTAAAATTTTGTCATTTTTACAAAATTAAAAAAAAAATCAAATTTTGTTATAAATATTTCTAAATCAATAGGTTTGACATTTTTATAAACTTTATCAACTTAGAGCTGGAATCACAACTTACTAATTAATTCTAATCTTAACAAATTAAATGGTACAGGCGAAGGCAGAACATAAGTAAAAAAATAATTAAACAGAAAATTTTCTTCATTAATGATTGAAAATACATCTATAGAACTTTTATTATTTTATTATGCGGTGACAAAGTGTTAGGGAAATAAAAAATTTAACAAGTCGACATTAAATTCCGTGCAGGTCCCATTATACGAGGTTACAGTTCTTCTTTACATCTCATCACCTAAAAGGGGTAACAGTTATAAGCGCACAGTAGAGTGAGAAATATTATGTCATGAGTATAGGAGACGCAAAATAACCATGGATAGGTATTTAAGTTAAAACATTAACATAACTTAATTTGAATAAATAAATTATTTAAGTGACAGAAACTGAAATACAAAAATACGGTACAAAACAGAGGTCACATGAGTGACAGTCAGAATAAAGCTCAATAAATCCATGACAAACAGAGGACCACAAAGTGACCAAATAGAAGTCAATGATTTATTTAAATCCCCCTAAGACACGGGACTCCCGTTGTGATATTTACAGAAAATAATTGTTTATAAAATTATTATCAAATTATTTATAAAATTTAAACAAATATACCAATAGGTTTCATTTTAAGCAAACAGAATTCAAAAAATAATCAACGTAATTAAAATATCAATATAATTTATAAAACACAAATTTTATAAAATAAATTATAATAACACAAACATATACAAAATATATTATATAGATTGGTTTGGATTAGTTCCATGATTTAAATGGATTGGATTGGTTTTAATTTTTCAGGAACCGTAGATAACGGATTGGTCCTGATTTTATCCCAATCCGGACCATGCTCACCCCTATTTGTAGAGTTGAGGAGAGGATTAGGATGATGGAGGTGATATAAATGGAGGTTAGGGAGGGGATTGAGATGGAGGTTAGGGAGATGGTATTAGAAAAATAGTGAGGGGATTATAAATTTTTTTATTTTTTATATATTGGGGATTTTTTTATAAATATTAATGTTCAAAATTTTAAGAAAATTTAGACATTTTTACTAACATTTTAAAGCAGAGGTCACATGAGTAACAGTCAGAATAAAGGTCAATAAATCCATGACAAACAGAGGACCACAAAGTGACCAAATAGAAGTCAATGATTTATTTAAATCCCCCTAAGACATGGGACTCCCGTTGTGATATTTACAGAAAATAATTGTTTATAAAATTATTATCAAATTATTTCTAAAATTTAAACAAATATATCAATAGGTTTCATTTTAAGCAAACAGAATTCAAAAAATAATCAAACGTAATTAAAATATCAATATAATTTATAAAACACAAATTTTATAAAATAAATCATAATAACACAAACATATACAAAATATATTATAATAACTCAAAATATAATATAATTCACCTAAATATTAGTACTTACTATTTTCCTCCTTAGTTTTGCCGACTATTCAAGTCTGTTCTCTTGTTCTCCTTTTCTTTCATTTTGTTTTTGTTTTCCTTAACCTTGAGCATATCCTCCCTAGATAGGGAGGCAAACCGTGGCTAGCAATCCACAAGGAGTCCTCCACGTATGCCACGTGTTTATAAGCCAAATATTGTTTAGATTGGCCAAATCTTGCTTAGATACGTACTTAACTCCACAAGTGTCATTTTTGCTTAACTTTTGATTTAATTTTACTTTAGTCCCAAATCTTAATAATCTAATTAAATTTCATTTTATCACATACAATCATAACATTAATTATTTTATTTTATTATTATTACCATTATTATTGTTATTGTTATTATTATCATGATTGGTTGTGGTATTAATTAAATATTTAGAATGTCACATTTCTTCCATTCCAAATGGAAGTTTGTCTTCAAACTTATCGTACTTTAGTTTTTGAAAAGATGTGGATATTGATCCTGTATTTGATTCTCCGTTTCCCACATAGTTTCTTCAACACGATTATTCCGCCATATGACTTTTACCAAAGGTATGGTCTTGTTTCGAAGAACTTGATCACGACGATCGAGAATCTGTACTGGTTGTTCTTCACAAAAGAGATCTTCTTGAGCTTTCAAGCCCTTATAATCAACAGCATACTCTAGATCTCGAAGATCTCGTCAAAGCATCGAGACGTGAAACACATTGTGGACATTGAACAATTCAGGTAGCAGTGCAAGGCAATATGCCGCAAGACCAATCCTTTTTAGTATCTTAAATGACCCGATGTAACGTGAGTTTAACTTTCCTCGCTTTCCAAATCAAATAACCCCCATTGTTGGTGAGATCTTTAGGAAAACATGATCTCCTACTTGGAATTCCAATTCCTCCCGTCTTTGTGTATCTACATAGCTTTTCTGGTGGCTCTGAGTAGTGCGAATTCGCTATTGGATAAGTTAGATTTTATCACTTATGATTTGCATGATCTCGAGGCGTAACACTTTCCTGTCTCCAACTTCCGTCCAACACAGATGTGATCGATATCTCATTCCATACAATGCTTCGTACGGTGCCATTCCAATGTTTACTTGGTAACTATTGTTATAAGCGAATTCCACTAAAGGTAAGTGCTCATCCCAATTATCCTTGAGGTCTAGCACGTTGACACGTAAACATATCTTCCAAAGTTTAGATTGTTCTCTTCGATTGTTCATCAGTTTGCGGGTGATAAACCGTGCTAAACTTTAGTGTTGTTCCCTAAACCTTTTGTAATTTGTTCCAGAAGTGAGACACAAATCGAGGGTCTCTATGAGAAACGATTTAAATTGGGGTATCATGCAACTGAATAATTTTCTTGATGTATAAAATGACAAACTTATTTAAGGGAGTATGTGACTTTGATTGGTAGAAAATGCGCTAACTTCGTCAATCGGTCTACTATAACCCATATTGCATCATTCTTTGAGACTGACTGAGGCAGCCTGACCACGAAGTCCATAGTAATGTTGTCACGACCCAAACCCGGCCCTATGGGTTTAGCACCGTAACCGGCCAGTAATCCGAGATTACCGAAGGCCTGCTTAACAGTAATACAGTAAAACAGAGTACAGTTTTGCTTTAACCCGTTAACAATGTAGGCATTTGGAGACGTGGCTTGCTATGTGTCCTTTCATTCCTGTCCACTAGTAATGTTCCTTCAGGTCGTGATATATCTTTGTATTGCCAGGATGGACCGCAACCCTCGAGTTATAAGCTTATACCAATATCTTCTTCTTGAGTTCCAGAATGTTGGGTACGCAAATTCGATTTCGGAATTTCAGCATCCCATTGCTTATAGTGAAGTCAGGATTGGGCGTACTTCTTTACTTCTCATATTTCTTCTTCAGAAGTTTATATTCACATTGGTGTGCTCTAATTTCTTCGATCAATGCAGGTTCCATGACTATGTTACCGAGCAGTCCATTGGTCTTGCTGGGGACGAGGGTACATGCCAAACCTTTGGTAGTCTTTCGGCTTAATGAGTCTGCCATCACCTTATCATTGCCTTTATAATGATAGATTTCTATATCGTAGTCCTTCATAAATTCTAGCCACCGTCGTTGCCTCATATTTAGTTCCTTCTGTGTGAACAAATATTTAAGACTCTTATGATCAGTGTAAATTTCGCAGGTTGCACCATAGAGATAATGACGCCAGATTTTAAAGGCGAAGATCACCGCAGCCAATTATAGATCATGGGTTAGGTAATTCTTCTCGTGATTCTTTAATTGACATGAGGCATACGCAATGACTTTTTCATTTTGCATAAGAACGCAACAAAACGCATTATGTGAGGCATCATTATAAATTACGAACCCTTCTGTTCCTGTAGGGAGTGCTAGTATAGAAGCTATTACAAGTCTGTTTTTTAACTCTTGGAAGCAATGTTTTTTCTTGTCAGTCCATTCAAATGGTGTGTTCTTCTGAGTTAGTTAGGTCAAGGGTTATACTATCTTCAAGAAATCTTGCACGAAGCGTTGGTAATAGCCAGCTAGACCCAAGAAACTTCGAATTTTTGGCACATTAGTAGGTCGTGGCCAATCCACGATTGCTGTAACTTTTTGGGAGTCAATCGATATGTCATTCTTGTTAATGAAATGACCGTGGAAGTGTACACAATGATCCAGAATTCGCATTTCTTCAACTTGGCATAAATTTTGTGATCACTTAGTGTCTGTAGAACTCTTTACAAGTGGTGTTCATGATCTTCTGGTGATTTGGAGTATATGAGAATGTTGTTAATGAAGACAATGACGAATGCGTCAAGATAGAGTTTGAACAGCCGATTCATGAGGTCTATAAAGGCTGCTGGAGCATTTGTGACGCCAAATGACATAACGAGAAATTCGTAGTGCCTGTAACGTGTTCTGAACGCAGTTTTTTTCAATGCTTTCCATTTTAACTTTTAGTTTATGACAGTCGGAATGCAAATCGATTTTCAAGAATACTTGGACGCCCTGATGTTGATTGAACAAATCATCGATTCGTGGCAAGGGGTACTGATTCTTAATGGTGACCTTGTTCAATTCTCGATAATCAATACACAATCTCATGGTATTTACGAACAGTACCAGAGCTCCACAGGGTGAGGTACTTGGTCGAACGAAGCCTTTGCCCAGTAGTTCCTGAAGTTGGGTCTTCAGTTCTTTTAGTTCCGTCATTAACATATGGTAGGGGGCTTTTGATATTGGTTAGATACCAGGTTGAATTTCAATGATGAATTCGATTTCCCGATCAACTGGGGTACCAGGTAGGTCTTCAAGCATCCGGAAATTCTCAAACCACGAGGATTGCATCAAGTATGGGGGCCTCTGGTTAAGTATTAATCACATAACAGATATAACTACAATAACCACTTCTTAGAAGTTGTTGGGCTGTCATGGAGGATATAAGACAAGGAGGGGTGGAAACTCCAATCCCATCAAAGACAAGCTCGAGTTAGTTTGGTTACCCTAAAGAGACTTTTTTGGCTTTGCAATCGATAGAGGCTTGATTGGCAGCCAGCCAATCCATTCCTAAGATCACATCGAAGTTACCAATACGGAGGGAAATCAAGTCTATGTATAAGGTTTCGCCTTTTAAGGATATAGTACAAGATTTGTACACATCAGTACCAAGGGTAGAATCACCAGAAGGAAATGACACAGACAATATATATCCTAAGGGTTCGGGTATTGATGCTAACTTGGAAACAAGGTGTGGTGCAACAAAATGATGAATTGAACCAGAGTCAATGAGGACATGGGCTAAATGACCATAAACAAAAAGTGTACCTGACACAACATTCTCGGTGACCTCCAGGTTTCCACTCACCAAGGAGAAAGCTCTTCTTTGGCGTTTTTGGTCCTTCTTCACTCCTCCAGGTACTGCAGGTGTTGAGGCTAGTTCAGAGGAGCCTGTTGGATTGGTAAACAACTTTGGATAATCCCTCAGCAAGTGGCCAACTTGACCGCATTTAAAGCATGCTCCTGTGCTTCGATGGCATTGTCCCCAATGAGCTTTCCCACACATAGGGCAATTTGGAATAGTGTCACCTCTGAGGTTAATAGGACCTTCATTACCTGACCTAGTTGTGGTCGTATTTACCTTTTTTCGGGGCGCAGCACCAGATCTTCTGTTGTCTCTTTCCCAAAATCGCTTCTTTTGGTTTATTTCTCCAGAATGAGAGGCTTTAATCCATTTTTCCGCAATGTATGCTCGATCCACCACATCCGCATAGGTTGGTAGTTTCAAAACCTCAAGCCCATCCTTGATTTCAACATCCAATCCTACTTCAAATTTCCTTGTTTTTCGAGCTTCGGTGGGGATGACATATATCGCAAATCAAGCTAGTTGCGTGAATTTGCTCTCGTATTCGGCCACCATCATGCTTCCTTGCTTTAGATGTATGACTTTTGATGCCTTTTGTTCCCACAGTAAATCTGGAAAGTATTTTTCATAAAATACTTTCAAAAATCTTGCTCAAGTCACGATTCCTTCTTTCTCCAAGGTAAGAAGCCACAATTTCTGCATTTCATCTTTGAAAGTGAAAGTGGCACAAGTTACCTTCTGTCTTTCGATGCAGGGTAGTGCGCGAAATTTTTTCTCCATGTCTTTAACCTAGGCTTCTGCTATCAGTGGGTTTGAACCGTCGGTAAATATGGTGGGCTTCAGATCTTTGAACTGTTTTATTGTAACCAGCTCTTCTCACCATTCTGACATTCCATTGTTTATGTTGGTTTGCAAGGCCTGCAAAAAGCTGGTAACTACTCTTTGCATGATTCGTTCTATTGACTCAATTTCACTGACTAATGACCCTGCCATGCCTCAAAATTTGGACAATTAAATATTAAATTAGGACTAAACCCCAATCAATATTCCATCATCCAAATCCTAGCGGTGAAACAAAATCTAAACTTTTACGTCTCCAAAGGTTTAGGTAAATTTCCATTATCAAAAGATTACAAGGGATTAAAAAAAAAAAAAACAACAACAACAACAAAACGCTAACCAAACCATCCACCATAATTTCACAACTAACCAATACCTCTAATATTAAAGTAATAATAAATAGTCAAAATAATTTAAATAATGTAAAGTTACAAACCATACCAAATTATCAAAATACTAATGTCATAAAAAAAATAATAAATACATAAACTAATATCAACCCTAAACTCAAGAAAACAAAAGAAGTCCAAACGACATGTCAAACAACTATAGTTATTTCTCGTCACTACCAAAGTCCCAACTAATCCTGCAAAGGAAACTCAGTTACGCTCAAACAGAACGCACCCGAGATGTCAAGAGACAAAACGGGTCAGTATATAGATATATTGGTATGAGTGTAAGATTTAACACCCACATGTCTACCAAACACAAACAAAAGTACATTTAATTCTTGTTATGGGACAAGACAAGCAGTTCCATCCGTACCGAGATGAATGGGTAGTTTCCTGAGATATGGATGGGTAGTTTCCTGAGATATGGTGGAATTTAGTTTCTTACCCGTACACAACTAAATATAAATTGAGTATAAAATAAACAAAATAAAAATATGGTAGGTCAGCCCTGCATAAAAAGTTAGGAAGACCCACCATTCTGCAAAAAAAATAAAGTTAGTATAATTCAATCACAAGTAACTTGCTGAAGAAGTATAAAAATGCACCGTTTCATGCTTAAATAATTCGAATTGACCAAAATTCAAAGAACAAAAGTTATACATAATCAAATTTCTTAAAAGACTGCGCGAATGAATTTAGTAGACATTAAACGGTTGAGATAAAAACTTGATAGAAGAACCTAGACATAATTCAACTGAAAAATTTGAAACTGAAAATGAAAAGAAACTACCTGAAGATGATTTTTTTCGGAAAATTTCAAGACATAAAAAGTGTTCAGAATAACGTTTTACTTCGGTTTACAAGAAACCAATAAACATGAGCTCATTTCATGGGTTAAAATAGCATATAAAATCTGCAATACTAAAATAAATAAAAACTATTATAACAAAGATCATCCGATTACAAGTTCTAATCAATTTAAAACACAAAAGTTATCTAGAATCACCTATACATGCCTTTGCTCAAATTTCATAATTTATCAAGGTCATTTACTATTTTTCAAGATGTACAAATCAATACAATTCACACTATAATAATAAACTCGTATTTAATTTTTTGTACCTTAACTCCACCATTTCAGCCATTCACTTCCGGCCTATACATATATCCCATGTGCCTCCCATATACCTAACATCGCTCTGAAGCCAAACTTGCACAGGGATATCGTCCTGAGTTTGATCCACACTCTCTGGATGGTTAACATATACGTACGCGCGTAAATTAAAATACTCATCTACTCATGAGAACAAACATAACAATGTCAAGCCTAAGGCATTCAAATAAATCTTATAATCCTCACTTTTTTTATAGACTCTTTCTCACCATCACTCAAATAAAACAACAATCCATGGAGTTATGGCGGAGTATAAGAAATTTATCTATGGGTTCCAAGTTTATTTTAATTTTATATATCTATAAGTGTGATTACAACCATAAAAAAAATACATATAAAAACCCTAAACTTTACATACACATCTAACAAAATAATGAAATCAATCCATCATCTGCATGCAAATACAAAATCAAACCAACATCAAATAAATAAATAAAAATAACGAATCAATCCATCATCTAACCAATATCTATCGATTCTAAGTTTATTTCAATTTCATATAATCATGAGTGTGATTACAATCATAAAATAAATATATTAAAAAAAAATCCTAAACCTTGCATACACAACTAACCAAAATAATTAAAATCAACCCATTATCTTCATACAAATACAATATCAAACCAACATCAAATAAATAAATAAAAACAATGAAATAAACAAAAATAAAGAGAAGTGGGTTTTGTACTCACAATTATTTTTTGAAAATCAAAGAAATATTTGAAAAACTAATAGAGCCACCAAAATAAAAGCTTAACTTTTTCTTCATTTTTCTCCACCTCACCTCTATTTCCCGTCTCTCTTTTCACTCTCTCTCAACTGCACTCACACACACTCTCTCTCTCTCTCAGTTGCACTAACTCGCTCTCTCTCTCTCTCTCTCGACTACTCTCAGCTACTCTTCCTTTTTTTTCAACACCTCTCTAATGCTTATAACCTAATTCACATTATATAATATTATATTTTACTTTATTAAACAACTATAACATATATAAATATACTAGATATTTTATCAATATATAAAACACTTTTTTATATATATAAATATTTAGATTAATTATATATAATTAACTATCACATTAAATTCTTATGTAACCACACAATTAATAAAACCAAAAATAAAATAAGATCATAATAATAATTAATAAATAAATAAATAAATAAAGACTTACGAAAAATCATGATCGCTACAAACCCAGTTCCGTTACTATCATTAGCCATTACTACAAGGTAAATTAGTAGAAATTTAATGAGCACGACCTCATATGTACAAAGCATCATGTATATATATATATATATAACACCAGTTTTCCTTGATATAAATATAGTGTTAGTACCACATTTTTATCCAAAAGTTAAAAGTTATATCGGTGTCTAACCCTTGAGTACAAAAATTGAGATTAGAACTAATCATGGTTAGCTCTCAAAAAAAAAAAAAAAAAAACAAAATGATCATCTTTCTCTCCAGCATCTAGTCAAAAAGCCATGGAAAGTACTGTTGCATGAGAAGCCCAAATTCCTATCCTAGCTGTACTGCCCAGAAACAGACCCACGCTGCCTGTACTGTGTAAAGAGGGACGGACTGTAGGTATCCCCAGAATGCTCGATCGACAATCCACCCGGGTGTCTTGATATATGTTAAGTCATTGGTAAAATCAACATTTTGGACATTGATAATGTCGAAAGGGTTGGGGATGTTGGTAAATATGTAGTTTTTGGGGTAAACATTTTCCCTCATCTCAGCAAAATCTGGGGGTCAAGGGCCAACTATATAGTGAGGGCGGTCAGATCCTGGGACAAGATCGATTACGCAGGTAGGTCCGAGATATCGTCTGCGCGTGTAGGCACGACTCTGCCTCCACGATAAGTATGCTACATCATCAGGATTGGTCGGTACATATAATGAGCGACCCATCAATTGGGCAAGGCCTGGATGTAGTCTCCTGACTATGTCTTCAAAGTCTCCTTATCCTTCTGGCGAGGCGGGGCATGGTGCAGTCCTAAGATCCCCTCCAAACTCATAGCCTCAAGCTCATTCCAAAAGGCCTCATCAAGAATAAACTCGAGCATCCCTACATTGCCAGAATTAGTCATGGTACAAACGTAAGATTCTACAAAGAAGGACTAACGTCGCATGTGAAAACAATTTAGTTCCTTATTTATTATTATTGTAGTATTATATATATATATATATATTTGGTTGAAACCATTGCTCTGATACCACCTTTGTGTCACGACCCAAACCCGCCCCTACGGATTTAGCACCGTAACCTGCCAGTAATCCGTGATTACCGAAGGCCTGCTTAACAATAATAACAGTAATACAGAGTACAGGGGCTGGCGGAAACCAAAGCAGTAATAAAAGATGTCCAATGAGCTGTGACAATCTGTATGCAAAAAGACTTTTCATAACATATTCACATTCAGTACAAAAGCAGTATGTACATACATTATACACAGGCATTCAGGATAGGGACCAAATTCCTACCATAACAGTACAGTACAAGTCTATACAGTCTATACAAAATAGAGATAGGAAGGGGGAATCTAAAACACCCCGAAGCAGCCTTGGCTTTGACACACTTGAAACCTCGCAATGAGGCACGTTGGTTGGCTTGACAAAAAAGGAGTTTAACCCAACGCTCCTAGCTCTGATCCGGTGCCTGGACACTTACATATATATATATATATATATATAAACAGTAAGCTAAAGCCCAGTGAATAACAGTTATGTAAAGAGGTTAAGAATGAATGTCCTTTCAGTCAATAAGCAGTCATATCAGTCATTTAGAAACCATAACAATTATAAATGGTATATCCAATAGCAAAACAATACAGTAGGTCTTAACAGACGGAACAATCAGTTGATGGCCATCATAACAGTAAACAGTAGTGGTTCTAACATGGGAACCGACAGAGATCTCTGTAACAGTAGCAGTAACAGTACAGTAACAGTAAATTGCTATGGATACCACGAATTCAGTTCATAAATAAGACAAACATTCATTCAGTAAGAAATATCATTTCAGAAAGCAGTACAGTTGATCATTCAGAAAATATTTATGATTGAACATATCTTTACAACATTGTTACTCACAGAGTTCTGGGCTACAAATTGGCTAGTGAGCGTCCTCGGATGCCAACCCTACACAGTTACGGATGAACACACACTAAGTTGCATGTTTGGGAATCAATAATTTAGTTCCTATCTTGACTCGGTGTGGTTTTACATCAATAACCTCATTAAGATGCCTAAACTAGGCCTAAGAATGCCTAGGATGAAATGAGGATGCAAAGATGTACTTTAAAGCACTTTTCAGAATTTTCAAAAAACAAGGGTCTCGCTCGAGCGTGGCTTTCTATGCTCGAGCGAA